TAAAGCTACGTTCAGTGTTCAGTATTCGCATTAAATAATCTCTCTAAGAACTGAGAAGTAAACATACTGTTAAAATGACATCAATCTGCTCTACCAAATGAAACTATTTTAATATTCCTACTTGATGTGAGTGTCGGCTTTCTTTCAAGAGTGAGTGATCCACGAGGAAGGCTATTGTCAGATGAAGAGCCTTATTTTCCTTGATCATCTTAATCTATAAAGCGAAAAACTTCTAATTTTCAAGGTCGAACGCAATAAAACAAAAAAAATCCTATTCCCACTCATTCTCTATATTTTGCTCAATAAAAATGGGAAGAAATTAAAAGCTGCAGTGTATCTTTAATGATGTAGAAACCTGCACAGAAGGTTAGCTGGGAAGCAGAGAAGACAATGCAATAGAACAGTAGTTGGAGAAAACTACTTGTAATTTGAGTATTAAGAGTAAAAACTGCATATCCAGGCTATTCCTGGGGTATAAAACGGCTTCTCTGGCCTAACCGAAAGTGACTAAGGAATTATAAAAGTTAGCAATGGCTTGTGTTGATATATTATATCATATCATGAATCACAAAATATTTGACATCAACTTAAAAATCACTAGCTATTGTTTCCCAAGTCTGTGCCATAATTTAGAAAATCATCTAAAAGACAAATTGATGCATCACACATTACTATGTTTAAAAGTAAATATTGACAATTATATAGCTCACATTAAATCCATGTCATCCTTCAAAATCTATAAAACTGCACCTTCAACAATAAATCTTACATCATTATTGTTCAACGACAAAATTCTTTTAGGAATCAATCAGTGCAATAAATAATAGTATATCCTTTTCCCACACAATGAGCCTTGTAACAATCATTAGATCCATCATAATAAAACTTAATAGTGAGTACCCATAAACAAGAAATAAGTTCAACCTCAACAAGAGATGTAACTAATTCGTAGTTCTAACAGATAAAAAAAGCCCCAATCTTGTTGTCCATAGCCTACTTCTATTTAAGTGTCAAACAATGCTTCCTAAGTCCTAATATGTCATAGGAAAGAGAATAGAAAACAGAAGGCAAACTGATGAAAGGATTTACATAAATGATCAAAAAAGTAAAGATAGCAATAAATGATTAATGCATTGACATTTATCTAGGGGTGTCAATTTCGAGTCACGGATCATGTTCAAGTCGAACCCAGAACTGACCCGGCACTGTTCGAATCAACCCACACCCTGATGAGGACATCATCAGTGATTTCGACACGTGCACCACCGGAGATCACCCTTGCAGCCATCCAACCTTGCCGCCAACCCCTTTTGGGTCTTGAATTTGAAATTCAAATTTCTCATGAGGCATTAACTACTTTCCTAAAATAACTCCTTGATTTTAGGCCATCATATTAATTGGATTTCAATTTTAATTTGAAATTCAAATTAATCCTAATTGATAGCCCTCCTATTTGGAAACTTTCCTTTCTTACAAAATCTGAAATTTAATTCAGATTTTAATAAATCCCTGATTAGCGTTCTGGACCCCACTCACTAATGACAACTATTCTCTTCCCTCCCTATATGTGGTCGGCCCCCTGCATGGGGTTTCTCTCTCTCCCAAATTAACTCCCTAATCCCCACCAAATCAGCCCCATTCACTCCCCATTGCCACCCCCCTTTCCCTACTTGGATTTAATTTGAAATTTTCAAATAAATCCCCTCCTACTCATCTAAACCTGAAATAATTTCAAAATTCCTGATTTTATTTCCTGGCCTCCCCACTCTAGCCGCCCCTCTCAAGCTCTCTCTCTAGCCCAACCCTCTCCCCGTAGCTCACGGCTAAGCCCTCCTCTCTCCAAACCGCCACCTCCACTTTTCTCCTACCATCATTGCTTGGTCGAGTTCCACCAAGAGAAGATTCTCCTACCGCCAAATACATCCACACCGCAAGGACATCTCATAGTCATGAGTGGACGATCCAAAGCGTGATTACAGCATTGCATACGATCATCAAGGCGACATTGACGTCATCTGATCGCCGTTCTTTGACGTTGGATTCGGCTTCGACCACACCGTTGAGAATTACTTGAATCAGATTCTTCCCCCCCTTGGGGACATCCTCGACGAGCAACTTCCGGCGAACAAGTGGATTATCAACGGCCAACCACCTTCTTCTCCAAATCCGACTTCCTCCCCGACGGCTAGCCCCCTCGGCATTACTTGTCAAGAAGAGTCCAGGTTTGATAGGTGATGGAAGACGATGGGACATGCAGGGAGGGGCAAATGCAGCTCCCATCAAGAAAACCTTCTAAGCCGTTTGCTCTGAACAACTTGAATATAAATCTGCTTAAGAAAGAATATTAAGGAAATGTAGAACTGCCAGTAATATTTCACAACAATAACACAAACATTGAAGTTTACAAAATATAATTCAAAACAATAATTTTCAGCACAAACAATCATGCTTTAAGACGCCGTTCTAATTTACAAGCCAGTAGGGCAGGACCTGCAAGCGTCATACCAAATCGAGCTTTACTTGCTTATCCAAAAAATTTGGATTTTTTTTTTTTTAAATCATGGTTTTAATTACAGTAATTTTATAAATAGTTGGAACAATTTAGAATGGCGATAATGATGGTGCATCACTTGTGAAACCAAAATCATTGTGCATTATAAAACGATACAGTAAAAACAGAAATCCCATGTAAACATCTCGCTCAAAAGGGTACCAAAATACTATATCATTCAAATTGAACAGCAAGTAACATAAACTGATATGAAATTACACATTACAAAAGAAGCTTGGAAGTTACAATCAATACGGAACCCTAAACAACAAGTCCACTGCCGCTGAAAAACCCTAGCCACCTAACCACCAAAGCCATAAAGGGTACGGCCCTGGCGCTTCAGAGCATAGACAACGTCCATAGCAGTCACCGTCTTCCGGCGAGCGTGCTCGGTATAGGTAACGGCATCACGGATAACATTCTCGAGAAATATCTTGAGCACGCCTCTGGTCTCCTCGTAGATCAAGCCACTGATCCGCTTAACTCCTCCACGCCGAGCAAGTCGCCGGATTGCTGGCTTTGTGATGCCTTGGATGTTGTCGCGAAGAACTTTCCTGTGGCGCTTCGCACCACCCTTTCCGAGACCCTTGCCTCCCTTCCCTCGTCCTGACATTTTCTCTCTTCTCCTCTTTGCTGCACTGACCTAGATTTTGTTCTGGTTAGCGAAGACGACTTATCGGCGGAGTGATTTCGAGTAAGAGTTTTATAGAATTTTGAGAGCAGCGTGAACCGTCGGATGGTAGACGATCCGGAAATACGTTTGGCATTTATCATGTGCCGTTGGATCAAGAATTCTGGCAGCTGATTGGTTGGAAAGAAATATGGGAAACGACCGTGGGATGCTTGAAGCCTTGAACAATAATTACTTTGCAGTTTGCATTATGTCTTTACTAAAAAAAAAAATTCTAAATTATAAATGTTTTGTTTGGGATATCTTTGCTACTGTCTTTTAAAATATTTTCTTACTAAAAAAATTTTTGAATTAAAAATTTATACTAAGTATGGAGAGGGAGATATACAGAGGTTATTAGTTTTATTATTTAAATAAAACAGTCAACGGGCCACTGACTTTGCCGAGCAATTCACCACAATGTTGCAAGAAGTACGTCAACAACTCATTTCAGCCACTGTTAGATACAAAGAAGCTGCTGATCGGCACCGCAAAGATAGGCAATTCAAGCCGGGTGATCTAGTTATGGTCCGACTACGTCGTGAAAGGTTCCCACAAGGTACTTATTCCAAACTAAGCCCACGAAAAGCTGGTCCATTCGCTGTCCTTAAGCAGATCAACCCGAACGCATATATCGTGGATATACCCAACCACTTCAACACTTCCACTACCTTCAATATTGGAGACCTTATTGAATATCACCCTCCTGATGCTGCCACCACTAACCTGTCTTCATCGGAGTCCGATTCTTCTCACGGAGGGGGAGAATGATGCGGAGCATCATGCTGCACCACGTTGCTGCCTCACATTGCTGCACCACGGTGGACCGGTGCACACTATCCTTTAGTTCTTTTACTAGAAAATTCTCCATGCTTTCTGTTAGTAGCTGCTGCTCCACTAATCTACTTACCTTATTTAGTTATGTATGCAGGCTGTTTCTTTTTAGCCTTTATCTATTTTTATCCATAGTCATTTTGTATTTCTTCTCTTTGAGAAGATGAGAACAGTGATGAATGAAATAGTAACTTTGGCTTTTGCCATTGCCACCGCCGGCAACCTGCCTCTCTCTTTGTGGTTTTGTCTTGTGAACCTGCTTCTTCCGCCGCATACCTCATCATCGGCTCCTTTGTGGCTGTTCGACTTTGCTCCTTCGACGAATTTCGCTTCTTGTCGGATCGGAAGTTACGACATTTTGGTCGGAAGTAAGAACAGGAGCTCGCTGGCTGTGAGGTTAACTTTCTCCCTTTCGCGCGCTTCTATTGTTAAATCCCGTTAAATCCACCGAACCGAGGGATTTAGTAAATCCGGGTTTTAAGCCGTAAATCCGGGATTTTACGGAATCCCGGGATTTAAAGTGCGCAAAAAAACCGTTTGGCTGGATTTAGCATAAATCCGACTTAAATCCCACAGTAAATCCGATACCAAACAGCCCCTAAGGAAATGTAGAACTGCTAGTAATATTTCAAAACGATAACACAGACATTGAAGTTTACAAAATATAATTCAAAACAATAATTTTGAGCACGAACAATCATGCTTTAAGACGCCGTTCTAATTTACAAGCCAGTAGGGCAAAACCTGCAAGCGTCATACCAGATTAATCCTTACTTGCTTATCCAAAAATTTTTGATTTTTTTTTAAATCATGGTTTTAATTACACTAATTTTATAAATAGTTGGAGCAATTTAGAATGGCGATAATGATCGTGCATCACTTGAGAAACCAAAATCATTGTGCGTTATAAAACGATACAGTAAAAACGGAAATCCCATGTAAACATCTCGCTCAAAAGGGTACCAAAATACTATATCATTCAAATTGAACAGCAAGTCACATAAACTGATATGAAATTACATTACAAAAAAAGCTTGGAAGTTACAATCACCACCGAACCCTAAACAACAAGTCCACTGCCGCTGAAAAACCCTACCCACCTAACCACCAAAGCCATAAAGGGTACGGCCCTGGCGCTTCAGAGCATAGACAACGTCCATAGCAGTCACCGTCTTCCGGCGAGCGTGCTCGGTATAGGTAACGGCATCACGGATAACATTCTCAAGAAATATCTTGAGCACGCCTCTGGTCTCCTCGTATATCAAGCCGCTGATCCGCTTAACTCCTCCACGCCGAGCAAGTCGCCGGATTGCTGGCTTTGTAATGCCTTGGATGTTGTCGCGAAGAACTTTCCTGTGGCGCTTCGCACCGCCCTTTCCCAGGCCCTTGCCTCCCTTCCCTCGTCCTGACATTTTCTCTCTCTTCTCCTCTCTGCTGGCTGCACTGACCTAGATTTTGTTGTGGTTAGTGAAGACGACTTATCGGTGAAGTGACTTCGAGTAAGAATTTTATAGAATTTTGAGAGCAGCGTGAACCGTCAGATGGTAGACGATCCGGAAATATGTTTGGCATTTATCATGTGCCGTTGGATCAAGAATACTGGCAGCTGATTGGTTGGAAAGAAATATGGGAAACGACCGTGGGATGCTTGAAGCCTTGAACAATAATTACTTTGCATTATGTCTTTACTAAAAAAAAAAAATTCTAAATTATAAATGTTTTGTTTGGGATATCTTTGCTACTGTCTTTTAAAATATTTGTTTACTAAAAAAATTTTTGAATTAAAAATTTATACTAAGTATGGAGAGGGAGATATACAGAGGTTATTAGTTTTATTATTTAAATAATATTTTATAAAATAAAATTTCATATTTATAAGTTATGTTAAGAAATAATTATCTTTGAGTATATTAAAAATATAAATTTTATTGGAGAAAAAAAAGTTGAAAAATAAGTTATGTTAAGAAATAAATATGGTAAATTTTTTTGGAGGATCTTATAAGATGAATTGCATAATATTTAATAAACTTTGTTTTAAAAAGATTTTTTACTATTTTTGTAAAATAATTATTTATTAAAATTTGTTTTACTAAAAAAATTAATTAAAAAATAATTAAAAATTGAATTCTTTATGCAAATGAGAGAGACTGTAAGGTCCACGATTTTACATTTGTCTAAATAATAATAGGGAATATGAACTCTTTAGTGTATTATGATATTATTTGGGATGTATTTTTATTATTTTTTAAAATAATTTATATATAGTTTGGAATGAAAAAGTGTCAAAAGAAATAGTTATAAGTTCATGAAAATACATGATAAGTTCAGAAACAACATGAAATACATATGATAAGCGTTGAAATAAAGCTGAAAAAATTATTATTGCATGTGGGGCAGTACTATGCGTATACGCGCTTGGAGTTGGCTTAAAGTTGGACAGCATATGAAGTCCTTTATGAACTTCTTTTGAATGTATTGTCAATCTTTTATATTCAAAAACTTATTGTTTTGATCATCTATAATATTTAGCTCTCGATATTTTTCAGATAAAAATGCATCTAATAAAATATATCATATAGTATAAAGAATACAGTGTTGCACATTAGTTATTGGATTTTCAACATTGACCACAACATAACCATCATGTTTCCATCCGATTTCACTAATTCTTGTCTTAAGAATACTCGTAGGAGCAAAATGACCATCATAATCCCTGAACCTTTTGATATAAAAATTTCCAACTCATATCAGTAAGAGTTGCTACATCCGCATACATGGGATAACGAGATTTAATTACTTCATCAAATTTATCCCAAAAACTGATGTCTTCAAACCATGACCATTCATGTATACAGCATCGAATAATTTTATTTGATCTTGTTTTCTCCTCAAGGAATTCATCAGTGGGATATGACACAGATTCTGGTCGTACATCACTATGCGTGTTAGTGTTACATCACTAAAGTATCAACTTCGAATTTAACATGGATATGTAGGTGGAGTGGCGAGAGTTATCAATGTGACGCCCCAAGGATTTAAATTGGAAGAATTATGTATTTATCATTTAACAAGAAGCAACCAGAGCTATCTAATGTCATATATCAGTAATAAACATTACAACATATTCTATAATTTAAAATATCAATGTACATATCTGTATTAATTCTAAAAAATCATATACAATACTCAGAATCTACATAATCATCACATATCTATCATGTCCTGAGTACAAAATAATAATTAAAAAAAATAGAACATGAAGAACTCTGACTAGCCTCACACTTCTACTCCCCTACCATGACCTAAAAATATTTAACCACATATAATGAGCTTAAAAATTCCAGCAGATCATCAATACCTACAACTGAATTCAAAGCACAGTAAATGAGCAATATGCATGTCAATAGTCAAATCATAGCAATCACATTCATATGATCATTGAATCAAATATAGATAAGATAAAACTGCATGATCATTAAAATATATATTGAGAGCTATGAAATAGACTAGATTTTGTTCTGACATTAATTTAACAGTTTTATCAATTTGTAATTTAATTAAATTTCAACAACCAATAGAGATCAGACGGTAATCTAGCGACGTATGGTGGTTGGGAAAAAAGACGACGTCAGTTGCCGATCAGACGGTAGACTGGTGTCAATTGGTGGTCAGGCGAAAATCCAACGTCAGTCAGTGGCCAGACGTTAGTCCGGCGTCAGTCGGTGGCCTGGTAGAAGTTTGGCATCAATCGATGGCCAGGCGGAAGTCTACTGTCAATCGTTGGTTGGGCGGAAGTCCTCTGTGCATGGTCGAGGAGTTTAATGGTAAGAGAACTCTAGTTTCTCTCTCTTCCTTGCTTTAGTCCCCTTCCCATGAGAAATGAGTATGACAGGTATGTTGGGAGTAGTTTGAATGGACGACCGATATTAATCCCCTTGATCGTTGATCATTTACTAGGCATTTAAATGTCTTAATGATATCATAATTTGGCAATATTGGGCTCGTTAGATTCGCCTCGTCGAGCCGTTTGATTCGACTATAAGCATGTCCTATTTGGAAATTGTTTGGTCATCTAATTTATGGTTTGAACCATCCAAATGTGCTTTGAGTCTTCGATTTGGACCTATTTAGGCACGGATTGAGTGGAATTTGGTGTCGTTGGATTTATATTTTCGATACGTTCAATTTGACTATAACTTTGATAAAATTGAATTTTATATTATCCTAGATTTAGTTTTGAAAAATGTCAACTCAATTTTGCCTCGAGGTTTTTGCCCGAGGAGATAAATGTTTGATGATATATTAGTTGCTCCCTATTTTTGCACATCAAAGCTCCAGAAGTTTAAAAATACGTATCATAATTTTTGGGGAATATTTGACATGATTTGACACTCAAGAATAACTTGATCTTATTGCGAGTTAAATTATACGTGATAAAAGAGTTAGAATTTTTCATCTTAGGATTTTGCGGATATCCAACACACAAACAGGAATTTTATAAACACAATGTTTTTTAAATGAAAAATCCATGAAAAGAGAAAAATCACAAGGTCATGTCCAATTGAAATGATTCAACTAATGTTTGAATGATTTACAAATGATTAGTTCATCCTCAAAATTGAGGATGATAAAAGTACAACAGTTAACCGTCTAGTGAAATCTAATGAAGAAAAGAGATCGGAATCTGACGATGTACAATAGTCTGACAGAATTTCGATGTCAGTTGGCAACTTAGCAGTAGTTCGATGACAGCTGGTGGTCAAGCGGAATCCGACGTCAATCGATGTCCAGGTGGAAGTTCGACGTCAATTAATGGTCGAGAGGATGTCCGGCTTCATTGGGTGGCCAAGCAAAAGCCAAGCGAAAGTACGGTGTCAATTGGTGGCCGGGCAGAACTCCAACTTCAGTCGATGACCGGGCAAAACTCTATCAGTGGTCGAGGAGGAGTTTGGTGGCAAAATAACTTTTGTTTCTCTCTCTCTCTCTCTCTCTATCTCTATTCATTCTCTTTCTTGCTTCTTTCCCTTACCCATATGAAATGAGATATCTATTTATAGTTTTCTGAGAGTGGCATGTCAATAAATGAGAGAGAGATCAAGGGTATCCTAGGAGTGTATCATTTACTAGGCATTTGAATGTCTTAATGATATCAAAATTCAATGTTCTTGGGCACATTGGATTTGTCTCATAGAGTCACTCATTAGATTATAAGCATATCATGTTTGAAAATCATTTGGACATCCAATTTATGGTTTTAACCTTCCAAACATGCTTTGTGTCTTCGATTTGGACCCATTTGAACTCAAATTGAGTCAAATTTGTTGTTGTTAGGTTTGTATTTTCGATACATTCAGTTCAACAATAAGTTTCTTAAAATCGGAGTTTGGATGTTTCCAATTTTAATTTTGAAAGCTTTCTACAAAATTTTATCTTGAGATCTGTACCTAATTAAGATAATTTTTTGTTGATATATTACAAATAAATCTTACAAATTTATATAAATAATATCTAAAATATTTATAATCATTTATTGACATTATAATAAGTGAATCACTAAAACATCATTCTTATTAATTTTTTAAATAAAAAATATGTTAATATGATTAAGGCCGTAAAATAACACATTAACAAAAATAAGCTTTTAACAATTGATATATAAAACACATCAAAAGTACGTGACATATGCAAATCCAGTAATTAAAATGCAAAAACATTTTACATGTTAAAAGTAATGTAGCATAGTTCATCCCCAATTAGAACTCATCTTAAGATTCATTTGAGACAAATTTTTTTATTATTTTATATAACAAATTTTTAATATAAAAATTTTTAAACTAAAAAAACTATTTTGAAAAATAACAAAAAATTTATTCTAAATAAAACCTTAATTTATTAGTTGAGAATTTTAGCTATCAATTAAGAAATTTAAATATAATCTAACGTATGTAATTTTATCTTAATTATCCAGTCTCCTCCAAAATAAAAAATCATTAATCCCAATAATTTATCATATTCCACACATTACCATTACCTTATAATCATAACAAAAACCCTAAACATAACAAATCTGATTCACATTACAACGAACATTGACGCATCAGAATTCATATCATCTATCCATAAACAGACAAAAATCAAAACTTACGTGATTAAAAAACATACGAAATTATCATTCCGTAAGAATCAAGTGGCCAATCCCAAAGAGTACCATGCAATTACAGAACATATTATTATCAGCTTCAAATAATCAAATAGCAACCAAACAACCCATCTCAAAGAAATTCCGGCGACGACCTAACCGCCGAATCCATAAATGGTACGGCCAAGGCGCTTGAGGGCGTAGACAACATCCATAGCAGTGACGGTCTTGCGATGAGCGTGTTCGGTGTAGGTGACCGCATCACGAATAACAGTTTCGAGAAAGATCTTGAGGACGCCTCTAGTTTCCTCGTAAATCAAGCCGCTGATCCGCTTAACTCCGCCGCGCCGAGCAAGTCGCCGGATCGCCGGCTTCGTGATGCCCTGAATGTTGTCACGGAGCACTTTGCGGTGGCGCTTTGCCCCGCCTTTTCCCAAACCCTTGCCTCCTTTTCCTCTTCCAGACATTTCTCTCTTCTTTAGTTTTGCGAAAAAAATTCTGGAGGACGCGGACAACGATTTATCGAGCAAAGCTTTTATAGGGTAACTCAAGCCACACGGACCGTCGGATGGATTGACGATCCGGAATTAGTATTTAATTTTAATATTGATTGTCGGATTAGAAATACTAGGATTTGATTGGTTGAAGCTGATAATGTGAAAAGATTTAAATAATTACATCATATAAATTTCCCAAAATAACCAGAAAATAAAAGCTAAATAACATTATACCAACGATCTAAATAATAGAATAATTACCCCAAACAAATCCTTAAACTTGTTAAGTTCATCACCAATGAATAACTAAAAATATGTGAGGGAATGCTCTAAAGGGTTAACCTAGGGGTTTGTTTGATTGACTCAGAAAGAAAAGCACGGCAGTGGAAAGTAGGGCTATCAAAATCGGGTCACGGGTCGGGTTCGGGTCCAACCCGAACTTGACCCGATGCTGTTCAACCGACTCGAACCCGACCCTTTTTTGCAAACGGGGCGGTTTTCCGAACCCGACCCGCTTCGGGTCCGGGTCAACCCGACCCGATTTGGGTATATTTTCTTTAATTTTTTTATTTAATTCAATTTTTTTAAATCTAAATCAAATTAAGGTAAGATTTACTTTGATTAATTTAAAATAAATCAAGACTAATTTAATTTGGGCAATAGTCTATGACATATAATGAAGTTTCAGTGTATTTGGATGACCATAATAATTCATTTATAAAATATTTGTTCCAATATTATTTTTAAAAAAAATATATTATATAGGATGATTTTTTAGAATATGAATATTGATGGAAGTCAACAAGAATCTATCCTAATATTTAATTAATGATATTTATTATTTTAATAAGCATATTAAAAAGTACTAATTTATTTTGTTATTTTAATAAGCTTATTTAAAGTAATTGTAATTAAATTCATAATATAAACTACTTTTTTAATCAATGGATTAAAAGAATTTCATTATAATTTTTCTGTTCAACATATTTCATCCAAACATAAGCACCATTTGAAAGCTTCCTATTTAATGATGTCGTCCAATTAAATAATTATTATTAGATAATAATATTCCATTTGTGAATTGAACAGCCTCTACAATTGGAACAATTATTACGTCCTCTGACCGGACGTAGAGCTACGTTCGGCCGCCAATAACTTGTCGCCACGTGCTCTTACTCTATACCGCGCAACCCGACGACTTGACCCGGACCGGAACCCGGGAATACTATGTTCGTGTATTGCGAGGTATTACTCGGTATTTGTTCGGTATTGCTAGGTATTGCATGACAATAACGAGAAATACCGCTCTGTGAAGATTAATACCGAGCAAATACTGAGTAATACCGAGTTGTACCGAGTTGTACAAAAACTTGGTACAACTCGATACAACTTGGTATTACTCGGTATTTGCTAAGTATTGCATGGCAATGACGAGAAATACCGCTCTGTGAAGACCAATACCGAGCAAATACCGAGTAATACCGAGTTGTACAGAGTTGTACAAAAACTCGGTACAATTCGGTATTACTCGGTATTTGCTCGGTATTTGTTATTGCCAAGAAAAATCGACCAATACCTAGCAATACCGAGTAATACCTAGCAAAATCGAGAAATACCGAGCCATCCTGGGCCCGTTTCGGGTCGGGTTGTCGGGCGTGCGATAAATAGTGAGAACGCATGACACGATTCTACTGGCGGCTGAATATAGAGCTACGTCTTGTGACCGGACCAAATAAAAGTTCCTACAATTGTGAGCATATTACGGAAAATAAAATATACTTAATTAATATATTTAATAATTCTTCATTAAATTATGTTTTCTGATTTCCTTTTCCCTATCATTCAACTATTATTTTATAATTAATTCTTATTTCAAAGCAATAAAAGAATCTTGATCATGCGAGAAGCTAATGCAAAAGAGATTCTAAAAAGAGTCAAAGATGGAGAATTACAGTCTGATCATAAGCAAAGTTGTAGAATGTGGCACCAAATTATCAAAGAATGATGAATGCAGCAAGGAGAATCCAACCAACTCCAACACTTTAGTTGGAAGTTTTAGGCATGACATGCTTAAGATCGAACATTATGTATGTTTTTGAAATTGCATGCCATTGCATAGAAAAGTAGACCAAGAAACATTGACGGCAACCAAGAGGAATGTTATTGATGGTAAAGGTACATTAACCCATGGATTATAATACTTTTGTTGCGGCATGAGAGAAGATTTTACGGCTTAGCGATGCACGAAAATTCAGCGCATAAATCGAGAATTGAAATGATAGAGAAACAGCAAAATTGTTATATGGAAAATACTAAAAAAGGAAAAAAATCACAAGGCATTCCCTGTTGAGATAATTCCAATATTTTTTTTATAAGTTACAAAAGTCAACCGTCTTTCAACTTGAGGACAATGAGAATATAATGTAGTGGAAAATGGGCCAAACTTCATATGGGTACTTCTCGTCTTGATTGAATGACATATACTAAAAATTCTGGCAGGAACAGACAGGAGAATATTAGACAAAGGTCCAGTGTTGCTTGGGGACCTGGTTGTAAGGTAATAGCAGAGAGCCGAACAGGGAAGAAGAGAAATGATTTTTCTATATATTGTATTCTGTATACAGTGGGGTATATAAAGTAATAGAAACAAGAAGTATAACAAACTACAAGAAAGTACAGGTAACGGTAATCTGCTACACACGGTATGTGAAATGTATTCATATGCTAACAACCCCCGTCAAGCTGATGGAGGGGGAGCGACGATCAGTTTGTTGCATAGAAGTTTAAAGCGCCGTGTGGATAGAGGCTTGGTGAAGATGTCGGCCAGTTGATCGTTGGTCGAGATGTGATGAACGGTGAGATGGTTGGACCGAATACTATCACGTATGAAATGACAGTCGACGTCGATGTGTTTGGTGCGAGCTTGATAGATCGGGTTGTTGGAGAGTGCGATGGAGGAGGTGTTATCGCAGTATATGGTGGTAGGAGCCGGTTGTGGAATGTGAAGTTCTTCAAGTAGTTGACGAAGCCACAGTACTTCTGATGCTTCAGCAGCCAATGCGCGATACTCAGCTTCGGTGGACGAGCGAGCTACCGTTGCTTGTTTCTTGACTCGCCAGGAGATCAGTGATTTGCCCAAAAAATTGCAGTACCCCGATATTGATTTCCGATCTTGAGTGTTGTTCGCCCAATCAGCGTCCGAGAAGCCCTGCAATGTTAGCTCATCACGATAAAGGGGAATGCCATGATCAGTTGTACCTTGGATATACCGAAGGAGGTGTGTTAGAGCATTGAAGTTGCTGTTGAGCGGCTTGTGCATTGCTTGACTAAGTTGATGAATGGCGTATTGGATGTCTGGTCGGGTGAGAGTGAGATACTGTAGCGATCCAATTAACTGACAGTAGAGATGAGGATTGGCGAATTTGTTGGCTGGATCGCCGAGTGTAGACGTTTTCCCGGATGATGGATTGGCTACTGGCTTGGCATTCTGCATGCTGCTTTGGCTAAGATGCGTTCGGCATATTGTTGCTGATGGAGAAGAATACCGTAGGAGGTGTAAACAGTTTGGATTCCCAGGAAATGAGCGAGGGATCCAAGATTACGCATCTGAAATTGCTTGTGTAGACTCGTAAGTAGACGGTTGATTTCAGTGGGCGAGTTGCCGGTGAGTAAAATATCGTCGACGTAGATTAGAATGTAGAGCCAGGTTGAGTTGGATTTGTAAGTAAGAAGAGAAGGGTCAGCGGAGCTTATAGTAAATCCGAAAGATTGAAGGTGAGTAGAGAGAGTGGCATACCATTCACGTGGAGATTGTTTGAGGCCGTAAAGCGCCTTGTTGAGTTTGCATACGTAATTGGGATGAAGAGTGTCTTGAAATCCTTGAGGTTGTTCCATGTAAACGGTGTCCGAAAGTGTGCCGTGTAGAAATGCGTTGGAGACGTCGAGCTGATGAATTTGCCATTTGAAGTGTAGTGCAAGGAGAATAAGAGCGTATGGTTGGGATCTTGGCGACCGGGCTAAAGGTTTCTGTATAATCTAGCCCGTGTTCTTGATGGAACCCTTTTGCTACGAGTCGAGCCTTGTACCGGGCGATTGTACCGTCGGATTTAAGTTTGGTTCGGTAGGTCCATTTGCAACCAATGACATTTTGATTGGGATTTGGAGGTACTAGATCCCAAGTGCCTTGCATTTGGAGCGCTTGAAATTCTTGAGACATAGCAGTGCGCCAATGTTCGCTTTTGACGGCTTGATTGTAGGTAGTGGGCTCGGTAGGATGAATTATATGAGAAAGATTGAAAATGGTTTTGGGTTTACTGTGCCCGGTCTTGGATCTGGTTAACATAGGGTGAGTGATATGTGGATCATGAGAAATAGTGTTGGGAGGATCATTAGTAGAGGTAGATTGCTGAGGGACGGGTGAGGGAGATGTCGGAATAATGTGTGTGTTACTTGACGTGGTGATGGGAGTGGGACGAGGAGAGTCCAAATGTTGTGAGGGTGTGGGAATAAGAGGAGTAGTGGAGACAGGAATGCTGGAAGTGGGTACAAGAAGAAGAGGTGGTAGATGAGAATTCTGAGTCGATGTAGTGCGAGTAAGCTCGGTAGGTTGGGAGAAAGGAAAGATGCTTTCATTGAACACGACGTGAGGTGAAACATAGATTTTATTGGTTTTGGTATCAAGGCACCTGTAACCTTTCTGATTGGGAGCATAACCGATGAACACACATGGTTGAGAAAGAGGTGCGAGTTTGTGGGCGGCGTATGGTTTGAGCCAAGGGTAGCAAAGGCACCCAAAAACTTTGAGATGACCGAAGTTGGGATTGGCTTTGTAAAGAAGCGTGTAGGGAGATTTGTTGTAGGTGTTTGGGGACGGTAAACGATTGATGAGATAGACGGCGGTGAGGAGAGTGTCAACCCAAAGATAATTAGGAATGGAGGCAGTGAGGAGGAGAGTGCGAACGGTTTCGGTGATGTGCCGATGCTTTCGTTCGGCG